CTTATCTATCTATCTATCAGGGACGTCACGCTCAGACGGGCGCATCAAGGCAAGGGTGTCGTGCTGGACGGCGCACGAGAACGCGTGAGCGCAAACGGCTACTCACGCGGGTGGGGCTTGCAGGGAATGCAATGCAACGCGCCACCAACTGGTGGGTGGAAGTAATGTTGCTTAGCTATGGCATCTCAGGGCGGTGGTACCTAAAGGACTGGAAGGGATAAAATGCATCTTTGCTGCAGCCTTCTACTTGTGATCTTGAGCCGCTTCGCACCCTCCCCAATGCTGTTTAGCCCCTCACTGAACCTCCCGCCTCCGTCCCTGCCACGCCATCGATGCACACACTCTCCTCCCCTCACATTCACGCATGCACGCATGCACGCGCACGTACCCCCCCACACACACACACACACAAACACACACACACACGCGCGCACACACGCACGCACACAAACACACATACACACATGCATGCACGCACGCATGCGACACTCATCCCTTTCAGGTGTGCGCCAGCAAGGAGGATGTGATCGAGCTCGTCACCGGGGCCAAGGCCGCCGCGCTGTCAGGGAAAAGCGCGCCGAGTTCCACAGCAGCCGCTCCCACCTGGTCGTGCGCTTACGGCTTGAGGTGCTGGAACTGGCGCCTGCAGACAACTTTGCGACCACAGCTGTCGCTGGCACCAGCGGCAGCATCATTACTGCGCGGGGGATGGCCATCGGCACCCTGAATCTGGTGGACCTGGCGGGCAGCGAGCGCATTGAGAAGAGTGGTAGTGCGGACAGCAAGGCGCCGACACGTGAGGCGCTCAACATCAACAAGTCTCTGCTGTGCCTGGGCAACGTGGTGCACGCACTGGCCCAGAGGGCAGAGGGCCGCAAAGTGCACATCCCCTACAGGTATGTCAAGTGAAGGGCGGCGCCATGAACAATGATAACAAGGATGCATGGTCTAACATGTCATTTTGCGCTGAATTGGCAGCGCATTATGACAACATAGCCCTTGGGACGTAGTTTATATGCTGGTGATTTGAAATGGGACTTGGCTGCATGCATGTCGTCCAAACGCCGCTAACGCTGCACATCATGTTTTCCTGCTGCATTTACTTGCAAAGAGACTCCAAGCTGACGCGGCTGCTGGAGGATGCCCTGGGCGGCAACACGCGCACGGCTATTGTGGCATGCGCGACGCCCCTGCCTGGCTTTCACCTCGAGCAGACACGAGTGACGCTGGAGTTTGCAGCCCGCGCGGCGCACATCGTCTGCTCGCCACAACGCAACATGGTGGCGTTGGAGGCGCCGGCAGACTCGATGCAGCAGGTATGTATCCTCAATCGCAGCACATCTGAGCATGGCCACATGAGAATTGAGTTTTAAGTGTCAACCCTGGGTAAAGCAGTAGGGCCTGACACATTGAGGCACCAAGCTTTGCTACCTGCAGCGCGGATGGACACGGGTCCCAACCCTGCACCCGTGCCCCTCCCCTCTGCAGGTAATGGCGATGCACGGGGAGCTGGAGCGCCTGCGGCAAGCTCTGACTGTACAAACCGCTGAGTGTGAGGCGCTCAAGGCCCAGCTGTCCGTGGACATAGGCTCCATGGGAATGCTCAACCGGCTGCATGCACGGCTGACATTCAAGCGCAGCAGCGGCAGTGGCAGCGGCAGCTGCAGCGGCATGTATGACGCAGCAGCTCCAAGAACGGCTTTTGCTGCAGAGCGGACAACTTCAGAGGGTGGTGGCGAGGCGCTCAACAGTGGTTGCAGCGGCACGGACAGCGTCGGGTCAACCTTTGTTTTGCGGCAAGTGCAGCCTGGCAGCCGTGGCAACGGATCCAGTATTCCCTTGACCACACACACTCAACAAGACGATGCCATTAAGGTGCACACGGGGGCGCCCGTTGCCGGCCGGGTCGGCCTGGCCAACCAGGTGGGCCACGTGTGGCGGCGTTTCACAACACCAGGCAGCATGCCTGAGCTCGACGTCATCGACGAGGATGATGGAGAGGGTGCGTCGCTGGTGAGGAAGCGGCATTGCAGGGCATCCAAGAGTGAAGGCGGAGTAGGGCTGTTGTCCAGCGCTGGCGCACAGGCGGCGCTGCAGGTGGCGAAAAGCGCGTCACTGCTTGAACACATCATCCGGCAGCTAGTGCGGCTAGTTCAGCAGAAGAGGGGCGAGGTACAGCAGCAGAAGCAGCAGGAAGCCGGGTTGAGGGCGCAGGTAGCGGCAGCACATTTGCAGCTGAATGCACAGGAGGCAAGGCATCAGTTGATGGTAAAGGGTGTCGCAAGGCTGGTGGCCGCCAGGCAAGAGGAGTTTGGGCAGTGGAGCAGCAGCTTAAAGGGTCTTGAGGTGGGTCTGCTGGAGGCGCAGAGCGAGTCGCAGGCATATCGCGACCATGCGCTGGCGCTGCACGACCAGCTGACAGAGGCCAAGGAACGGTGTCAGGAGCAGGTGGAGCAGCTGTGTGCCACAAGCCAGGCGTCACTGCAGGCAGTCGAGGCCCTGCAGGGTGTGCAGGTGAGGATCCTCTGCTGCCTGGTTTTTTGTATGGCTCATTGGTGTTGGGACTGCAGGGTTCGTGCGTTTGCAGGATGTCTCAATCACATCGTATTTGTATACATTTACACTTGCCCAGCTAACAACTTACCCTTTGGCATCACAAATCTTTTCAGCAGGCAACGGGCTCTTTGACAGCATGCCTAGAGGTGCTGACGGGCATACGCCAAATGCTTCAAGGGACTCTCCAGCTGTCCTGCAGCAACACCACCTGCCCTTCTGGCAAAGACTGCAGTCTGGATTGGCCGGAGCAGCAGCAGCAGGAGCAGCAGCAGCACGAGCAGCAGGAGCAGCAGCAGCAGCAGCAGCAGCAGCAGCAGCAGCAGCAAGCGGCAATCCTGGCGCAGCAGCTCTTTCGTCTCGAGGCAATTCTGGCGGAGCACCAGAGCCTGCACAGCGGAGAGCTGACAACAGTACCAGTGCAGCACAGCCAGGAGGGGCGATGCTGCAAATGCGAGGCCTCGAAACCTTTGCTGAACTTGAGCCTTGAGGTGCGGGCCTTCTAAACATGTACCTTTCAACTCAATGTGCGAAAACACGGCGTTGTGCGTGCCTCACTGCAGCGCTCGAGCTGATGTACACTCCCTCCTATATGCAGCATGTTGCTTTGCCAGTCACTCAACGACATGAGAATCCGGCGCCTCCACCGCGTGCCTGTGCAACCTTGATACTTGAGCGCAGCTGCAGGAGGAGGTGACTGACCTGCAGGCGCTGGTCAGTGAGCAGGACAGCCAGCTGCAAGCAAGCAGCAACACCATCGCCGCTTTGCGCACCAAAGTGGCCAACGTGCGCACGCGGGCAGCAGATCTACAGGCAAGGCTGGCGAGGCACCTGGGCAGCGGCCAGGACAGGCGCAACAAGCTGCAGGTGCTGGCCAACATGCCCCTGCAGGAGCTGCATTACCAGGTGTGGCGGGACGAATGGGCGGAGCAAACCCAGAAACAAGCTGACTAGGGCAACAACATGGAAAGGATGGATTGGCATCAGCTCTTGCACCTCGCCTGCTTATGCTCACAGGTGAGTTCGAGTACAGAAAAGCCAATCATAAATTCCATACAGTTCAAAGTAGGCTTGTGATAGCATACCATTTTCCATCCGCGGCAGATCTTGAGCAGCTGGGCGACGCTATCTGTGCCTCACGGCCTGCGTGCGGCTGTGGTGCTGCACCCATCGTGGCATGTGCATACGCAATGTACCGCCCATGTGGGCCTGATGGCGGGCCTGCGTGATCTGTACGAGGCCAACCCGCCGTTGCGGGACCGTGCCGTGGATCTGCTCCAGAAGGAGGAGAGCCACTTGGTCATAGCTGGCATTTCAGGCCTGTCTGACTGGTGAGCTGTTCATCAATGCAGTCTCCAGTGAGGCGTGCTGCTTGAATGACCGAGGGAGCAAGACTGAGTTACGAGGCATTGCGCGGGGGGCAGCAGGTTGATCGCTGCTGGTGGCTGAGAGCAATGCCTGACAATGTGCATGCGAGCATGCCACCCCACCACCCCTCCGTGTGCCTGTATTCCAGCAAAAAGGTTGTGTCTGCCGTTGCGTTCTTCGTTTTTGCACTTACAGGGAGCTCGCGGCGGCCTGCAGCACCCTTGGAATTACGCATGGAGACAACCCCACCGGGTGGCAAACGCTGCTGAGGCACCTGTGGGTGGCTGACAAAGAGTCCACGGCAGGCAACGTCGCAGCTGCCAGCAGTGCTGTGGTTGGGGCTCTGCTGAAACATGACCTTTGCAAAGCTGTGCACAACTCGCATGACCACCTCCTGGCCATAGTCGTGGCCATTGTGCACGATGTGCTGCTCAGCTGACACGACACAATGTCATGTGAACTGGGGAGCACCCGTGTTTGCCAGCACACAGGTATGGCCCATAGAAACGCATGATATTGCCCATTGTACAAACCCATGTGCAGCTCGGCACTGCACACAGAAGCACCATATGTTTGGCCAGGGCGAGCGGCACGGCACGCAACTTGGCGGGCGCGCAGAAGACAGGCTTGTATCACCCAGGAACCACAGCACCACACAAAAACCTCACACGCCCTCACACAAAAAACACCATGATGCGTGTAGACATCTTGCACACAGATCGGCGCCTCTTGAAGCACAAACGGTCTTTGAGGTTGATTATCAGGTCAATGGCTTTTGATCACTCACAACTCACCTACAAAACATTCTTTACTTGCTGTCGAAAGAATACATACATCATATTAATGTGGTTGATGGATGCGCTGTGAATAGTAAGATTGTAATATGAGCATGATGAGACTCAGCTGCACGGTGCTCGTCCTTGTGTTATGGCAAGGGGTCGATTACTTCCAACAGCAGCAGCAAAGCACATTTTGTGGCATCCTGTCGTCCGCTTCAGCTGTTGGTTGAGCAGGGGTATTCGTATCCAGTGGGCTATAGGCCGCTTCATCAGGCTGTGAACATTCCTTGGCGTGCACACCGGCATGCTTCGCCAATTAGGCTGACACCACTGAAGCCAGTTGACTCACACGCTGCTTTGACCACATGGGCGCAGCAAACGGCGGGGCCGCTACCGCTTGCTGATGCGCGGCTCAGCGCCATTCCGTACCCAAAATTGAGCTGCTCGTGTCGTTTTGATCACGTTGCGTTCCAAGGACTACCGTACCACGGTGCATCGGCAGATCTCGCGCTTTTGAAAGTTGACAACACGCAACCAACGATGCTGAGGAAGGGACGCGGCCAGCTGGCAGGCGATCGTCAGCTTCGCGCGCGGGAAATATACAAGGCCGGCCAATAGTCCCGGTCTCTTGGCTGCGGCATGCGCAGGCAAGCTGCCAACGCCGCGCGAAAGGGGAGCAGCACGACTGGCGCAGAAGAGCTGGGCTTCCGGGAACCGGTGAGAAAATTCATGTATCGGTATATAACAGCATGGCGGCGAGCGGTCAGGGGATGGTGTCAGGGGTGCTGATGCCGCACCCTGGTGCTTCTGATGCGTGACAGCTGCTGCAGGTGCTGCTGCTCCTGTTGCTGCTGCCGCTGCTGCTGCTGCTGCTGCTGCTGCTGCTGCTGCTGCTGCTGCTGCTGCTGCTGCCCCCGCCGCCGTCGCATGCCGCTGCAAAGTCACCCGCGCCAACCGGCGGCATGCGCTGACAACCTAAAATCGCTCCGCGCTCTGTCGCCTGCCTTCAAGCCTACGGGATTGTTGGCACTGGCGGCGACAGACCAGTCCAGCGTCTCCAGCCTGGCAGGCGATGGCGACCTCCGTGGGGCCAGCGGCGGTGGTGGCGGGCAGCAGGCTGACCTGGTGCGGCGTGCGTCCAAGGCGCTGCTGCGGCAGGTGGAGGAGACGCGTCAGAGGTACGCCCTGGAGGTGGACGGCCTGAAGGCGGAGGTGGGCCTACTGGTGAAGGAGCGCCGGCGGCATGAGAGAGACGCTGAGCTGGCGGCCGTCACCGCGGCAGCGGCCACCAGGGCCGCGGCCGACGCCACCGACGAGCTGGAGCGCATCAACGCGCGGCTCAAGGAGGCGCGGGCTTCTCTGGACGAGGCCAGCAGGTTTTGAGGGGGGGTGGCCACAGATTCACAGGACTTGGAAGGAACGGCTGCATTAGGTCGGTGGGAGAGGGCTTGCCACCAGGTATGACAGCATGGCCATTGCTTCAGGGCAGCCCAAGCCCTGACGCTGCAGTCGGCCGTTGCAGCCGTGCACGCGCTCCGATCAGCCCTCTTTGCTTGGCCAATGACCCGCCGTTCGCAGGCGGAGAGAGGGGGAAGCCGCACGGCTGGCGCAGCAGCAATGCGAATTGCAGGCCGTCGCCAGGGACGAGCTGCAGCGGCACAGGAGCGCGGTGGACGCCCAGGCGGCGGCTGGGGCGGCCGAGCTGGAGGAGCAGCGCGCGGCGGTGGCGGCGGCGCGTGAGGCGGCGGCGGGCAGGGCGCGAGCCCTGGACAAGGACGCGGCTGAGATGGCGCTGCAGCGGACGCAGTTTGAGCAGCAGCTCGAGGCCTTCCAAGCGCAGGTGGGTGGCACATCGGGACCTTTAGGTTGGCGAATGCATGCCGCACGGGGCAATGCCGACCGTAACGGTGCTGTCTGTCGGGCTGCAGCCAACCATCTGGTTTGCGGGGCGACCTGCATACCAGAATGCCAGCGGGAGAATTGTTGTGGTGCAAATCTGCCTGTGTGATGCGGCAGGTGGGCTCAGGATCCGCCTTGCAATGCGCTGCCGGCCGCTGCCAGGTGCGAGATGCCAGTGCAGCACTGGCTGCCCGCGAGCAGCGGCTGCTGGAGGCGGAGGCCCTGGCTGCCAAACACCACGAGCGCGAGGCGGCGCTGGCGGCGCAAGAAGCTGGCCTGCAGCAGCGGCAGCAGCAGGCCGAGGAGGCCCAGGCAGGGGCCCAGCAGCGGCAACAGCAGCTTGACGAGCTGTACGGCCGCGTCAAGGCTGACTCCGCACAGCTGCGGGACCAGGCTGAGGGGTTTGAGGAGCGGCGTGCCGCCATCGTCGCCGACCTCCAGGTGCAGCCACTCGTGCTATACGCGGGGCTAGGGCATCCTCGTCTGCAACCGCGTAGTTTGAGAGCTTGCATGATGAGGTATTTTCAACACCCTCTCCCTCTTCAACCTTTTCTCGCCCTCCCTCACCCCCCAACAAACGGCAGGCACGCGAAGCTGCGCTGCAGGCGCGTGAGCAGGAGCTTTGCGCAGTGCAGGAACGGCTGCAGGAGGACCGCGCTCGTGCGGCGGCAGATATGTCACGTTTGGAGGAACGTGCGCGGGAGAGCCTGCGCGTGGTGCGTGAGGCGGAGGCCGACTACCTGGCGGGCCGCGACAGGCTCGAGGCACTGGAGCGCGAGGTGCGGCCAGGAAGCTGCGGCAGCAGCATGCCTGCACAGCCGGCGGTCCCTCGTCGGGTGTCACTCCACTGTACCATGCGCTTGCCAGCATGGCCCATCAGCCCGCATTCAGTTGGAATCACACCCCAACACTTACTGGCACCAGCGCCTGCGCGTTGGCTGCATTGTCGCCAACATGCCCCTGACCGACCATTGATGCTTTACTTGATGCAGATTGCGGCGGCCGAGGAGGATGTTGAGCGCCTGGCTGCTGTGCGAGGCACAGCGCAAGTGGAGGCGTCTGAGGCGGAGACTGCGGCGCAGCAGGCGCTGGAGGCGGGGCATGCTGAGGTGATGGTCCTGCGGCGCAAGTGGGACGAGCTGAGCAGCCAGGTTGCGGGGCTGTCTCGTGAGAGGGACGTGCTGTTGGACCAGATCGCGGAGGACAAGGCAGAGTGGGCGCGGCTGCAGCAGGTGCGGGGCTGGGCCGCCGGGGCACAGCAACAGGGCGCTGGTCGCTGCTGTCCATCTGCGTTGGCCACGCACAGCCGAGCACCTGGTGTGAGGGGTCAAGTCACAGGGGGCAGCCACCCTGTGCTGCAAACCTTTGCCCTGTACCACGTGTCACTGTATACGTTGCATGCAAAACCCACGCTAGCTCACCGGCACGCAATCAGGCAACGTTGCGTTTTGCCCCTGTCCCTGTGCCTTGCCGCAGCTGGAGTCAGATGCGCTGGCCGCGCGAGAGGCCAAGCTCGGGGAGGACCGGGCACGACTGACTGCCGAGCTGGACGAGCTGCTGGGGCGGCAGGAGGAGCGGCTGCGCGCCTGGGAGGGGCGCGTGGCGGAGCAGGAGGCCGCACTGGAGGGCTTGCGGCAGGCCGCCTCCGATGAGGAGCACAGGTGTGAGGCGTGGAGCATGCAAGGGGTCCGCAGGCCACCAACGGCGCGATGCCTGCAGCCAAGGAGAGGCGTCCCAAAGGCGCACCACCTTGGCAAATTTGTAATGCAGCCATGTACACTACTCACTGCATTGCCATGCCCACGGCCACCTCCCATCTTCACTTGCAGGCTGCACAGTGTTGCTGACTCGCTGGTGGGTGTTCTCTCGGCAAAGGTGGCAGGGTGGCAGGGAGAAGACGTGAGCTTTGGTAACAACGAATGGAGGCTTGATCTATGAGCAAGCATCATCCTTTTTTTGCGTGCCTCACATTGCACTCCCTCAACTCCATTGACGCCAGGCCGCCCAGGAGCAACACCTAAACACCCAGCGCGAGCAGCTGGCAGCAGAGGTTGAGGCGGCTCGGCGAGCAGCAGAAGCAGCGGCAGCGGAGCGCACCCAGCTGCAGCAGCGCAGCGCCCTGCTGGACTCGGAGCGCGAGCAGTTCCGCGGCTGGATGCGCGACGCTAGGGAGGAGGCGGCACGCAGCATCAAGGTGCGAGAGACTGGGGCTCTGCATTGGCATGGGTGGGGCTGCTGCGGGGTGAGCACAGGGCGTGGTGCGGGACCATGGAGGGGGTCTGTGTGGGTGGGCCTCACTGGGAAATTGCGCATTGCGTCAGCCTCGTCTGTGCACCGGGCTGACAGCTGCGGCGGCCATGCCCTGGTTTGTCCGCGACGCGACCGCCAGGAGCGTGAGGCGGTGATGACCGACTGGCAGCAGCGCCTGGAGCGCCGCCAGCAGGAGCTTGAGGAGGTGAGGGCGGCGGCGCAGGCAGAGGCGGGCAAGAGGGCGCAGGAGCTGGACGCCCGGGACAAGGGGATGACGGCGGCGGAGGCCGCGCTGCGGGAGCGGGCGCGCTCTGCTGAGGAGTCTGAGGCGCGGCGGCAGCGCGAGGTGGCCGACAAGGAGGCCAGTCTGGGGCGGTGGGAGGCCGAGCTGCGGGCGCTGGACGCAGAGCTCTCCGCGCGCGGCCGCGAGCTGGCTGAGGAGCGGCAGCGGCTGGGGGAGGATCGCCGCAGCCTGGAGCTGCAGGCGCGCGACCTGGCCGCGGCCGAGGCGCGCGTGGCGGCGCAGGTCCGCGAGGCAGAGGCGCTGCGTGAGGAGGCGCGGTCAGAGCGTGGCAAGCTGGAGGGGCGGGAGGCGCGGCTTGCGGCAGGGGAAGCTTCGCTGGAGGGGAGCCGCCGGGAAGTTGCACGGAAGCAGGAGAGCCTAGCCGCGGCAACTGCGGTGAGTTGGCCTGTCCTGGAGGCAGCAGCGGCGAAGATGAGGGCATGGGGACCTGCGTTCAACGAGTCTCTGTGGGTCACTGCCCAATCACTTGTCACGGATAGCGGTCAACCTTGCGCGCCCCTCCGCCTTGTCACGACCACTGCCAGGCCGCCAGCGAGCGCGAGGCAGCAGCCAACGAGCGAGAACGCGAGCTGCAGCGCGCCACCGACGCGGTTGCAGAGGCCCAACGGCGCCTGGTGGCAGAGCAGCAGCGAATCGAGCATGCGGCCACAGAAGTGAAAGCGGCGCGGGAAGCAGCGACGCACGCCTCAGAGGACGCGGCACGAGAACGCAGGGCAGCTGAGGCGGCGCGCCGTGCTTTGGCAGCGGTGGAGGCGGCTCTGGACGCACGGGAGGCCCAGGCTCGTGACAGCTGGGCGCACCTGCAGGAGCAGGCTGCCGCCCTGGCGCTGGGCAACGCCCCCGACACGTCCCCTGGGGTGCGGCGGGGGCCACCCTGGGGACACGCATGTCAGAAATCCCCCTCCCCCCCCCACACACACACGCCCATGCATGCACACACGCACTTACGTGCACACACCGCCCTAATTCAAGCGCCTCACGCTTTTGTCCTTTGAATGGCTCAACCCATCCCGCTCGTCATCGTTCCCGCACGCTCTCCACCCACGACCACCACCACTCCCTGTTGGTACCCAGGAGCGCGTCCCCCGGCAGCTGCAGGAAGTCAGCGGGTGGCGCGGCGCCAGCAGCGCGGTGCTGCTCGACCCCACAGCCTCCCCTGAGGACGTGGCGGTGGTGTCGGAGACGCGCCGCGCCGCGCTGCTGGAGCGTGAGGGCGCCATGCAGCGCTGGGCGGTGCAGCTGGAGCTCCAGGCGGCGCGCCAGGCAGCTGCCGCGGCGGCGCTGCGCACCCTGTCCAGCGACGTTGAGAAGCAGCGCGTGGCCCTGGCCGCGGACGTGCGCTCCAGTGACTCCCGGCGCGGGCAGCTGGACGTCCTGGCGGCTGAGCTGTCCAAGGAGCGCGAGTACCTCACGGCCCTCGCGGCACAGCTCACGGTGCGCGCGCCACGCCACGAGGGGGGCTGGGCGCCCCGACTCTGCTTCAGCACTGTGGCATAGCGTTGTGGCTGGCACGGCGGGGGCCCATGCGTTTTTGGATGCCTGGCCCTGGCTGCATTTGACCAGCCCCTTACGACCCACCTTGCCAGTGCAGGAAAAGAGCCAGGCGGTAGAAGCAGCTGAGCAGAGGCTGGCGGCCGCCGGTCAGGAGCTCGCTGCCGCGCAGTCCCGGGTGGGCCAGGCCCAGGTGGCGGCGGAGGCCAAGCTGCAGGCCGGGGCGCACGCGGCGGAGGAGGCGTCCTCGGCGGCGACGGCCACGGCGGCTCGGCTGCGTGATGTGGAGGAGCGCGAGCTTGCGGTGCGGGCTGCGCAGGACGAGCTGTCAGAGGCGCGCACCGAGCTCGGGACCAAGGCCGCCGAGGTGAGGGGGGCGGCGCAGGGTGAGGCGTGGTAGCGTGTGTTGGAGTTGGGTGAAGTGGGGGGCCGCGGTGCAAATCCACCGCCGGTGGGCGGTACAGCAGTGTGTTTGGTTGCACGTGCGGGCCTGCCTGGGGCAGAGAACACAGCTTCAACAGAGCTGCATGCTGGGATGGAGCAGCGGCAGGCCCCCAGACCCATCACACCAAGCGTGCATCCTCAACCCAATGCTGGCCATTCCTGTGACCCACCCTCCCCAATGCGACCATCACCCAACAGTTGGAGCAGCAGTCGGTCCTGATTCGCCGCGCTGAGCAGCAGCTCGCTGAGCTGGAGGGGGAGAGGCGCAAGCTGGCTGCGCGCACGGCCGAGCTCTCCGTCAGCGAGGCAGACATCCGGCAGCGCACAGCAGCGCTCGACAGGCGGGACGCCGAGCTGGCGGGCGAGGCCAGCAGGTAGGGCTGAGACGGCCGCGCAGGGACAAGACTGAGCGCCCTGGTGAAGGGCGCGCTGGCAGCGGTCGTCCTCGGCAGCACGGCGTATCCCCCTCAATCTCTGGTGCACCCCTCTTCGGGGGCGTGTGCCTGACACCCTCCCCCAACTGTTCTTAACCCTGCGCTGCCAGGTTGGCAGCCGATGCTGCTCAGCTGCAGCCCCGGCTGGCCAAGGCGGAAGCCCTTGCGCGGCTGGAGGTGGAACTGGCGGCCAGGGAGGCGGAGTGCCGCGTCAAGGTGGGGTTGGGTAGACGCCGTCGAAGCATCGGCAGCCACTGTTTGCTTGCCGAACTGGATTGCACGAAAATGGCACAGCAGTGAGGAGGGAAGCTCTTGGTAGCCTGTTAATTGGCCTGCATGATTCACATCTTCTTGCTCTCCTCGTCTCCCCTCCCCCTCCCAAAAGGCTGATCAGCTAGCGCAGGGGCAAGCGGCCCTGGAGGCGTCGATGGCACGGCTGCAGGCTGCCCAGGACCGCGTGGATGGTGAGCGTGCGCGGCTGGTGGAGCAGCAGCACCAGCTGGCAGTGGAGCAGCAGGCCATGGCGGCGTTCAGGTGGGGCAGGGGCCTCAGAGGGGGGCTTTGAGCTTTTCCTGGGGGGTTGCTCCCATTGCTGCAGCTGTCAACGGGCGTGTTGCTTGAGCATTGTGAGGGCAACTCCGTTTTATTGTACCTGCGACGACCTGGGACGGTGATGATGTTCATCTTGCCTTTGCGGCGCTTGCCACAACTCATTCTCAACGCAGGCACATGTGGCGCACACGCATGTTGTCGCACAAGCACACACACACACACACACACACACACACACACACACACACACACACACACACACACACACACACAACCACACACCTGCATGCAGACACATACACACACATGCGTGCACGCACACGCTCACGCGCGCGCTCTCACACGCTCCCTCACAACAAACGCAGGCAGGACAGAGCGCGTGTGATGGAGGAGCTCTCTGTGAAAGATGCCGAGGTGGGGCAGCGCGTGGCGGCTCTTGAGGAGGCAGAGGCGGCACTGCACGAGCAGCTGGCGGCGCTGGAGGAGGGTGTCGCGGCCCTAGAGGCAGACAAGGCGGCGGTGGCGGCTCAGCAGCGGCAGGTGGAGGAGGCCCGGGCGCTGTCACAGAAGGACGCTGAGGTGGGTGGGCTGAAGAGTACTTATGTGTTGGTAGGTTGGGGGGGAAAGGGGACCTCCTTGATTGCGGGCTCACGTGCGTTGCACCAGATAGGCATGGCCTGTTCTCTCTCATGCGTCGGGGCTTGAGGGCTCTCTTCTTCCAGGGTGCGGGTAGGAACCTGGGTCTGATCCGGGCTGATTGTCGTTCCCCAAAAACCCACTGCAACAGGGTCTGCTGGCCGAACGTGTCCGGCTGCAGGAAGAGGTGGGCCGCCTCAAGGAGCAGTCGCAGGCCGATGCGGCGCGCACGGCAGCGGCGCTCGAGCAGCGTGGGGAGGTTTTGGCCAAGCAGGCGGCGGACCTGGGGGCGCTGAGGGAGGCCTTGGCTCGTAGTGACGCGGAGCTCAGGGCTGCCCAGCTGGAGCTGCAGCTGAGGTCGCGGCAGGCCGCGCACGAGGAGGTGGGTGGCCGCAAGCTGTGGGCACATTTGTCGCGGGTAGGGTTGGGCGGTGTGTTTTGGGCATTTGGTCAGCATATGAGTGCCTGGCCAGCAGGCACGAGCTTGCAGGAGATGGTGGTGTGCGGCAAGCGTGTTCCCAGGCTGTCCCTCAATTTGCGCATCGCAGGGTATTACGCGTGACACGTTGCGCCAGCAGGAGGCGGCGCTGGTGGGCGAGGGCAGGACGCAACCCCAGCCAGGGGTTCGCAGGGTCATGGTAGTGCGCCAACGGTCAGCTGCCACTGCCTGCCTCACGCAGCTTATCTCTCCCCTGGCCTGACCCTCCCTGGCTGCCCTTTTTCACCTCTCTCCTCCACATCCCGCCCGCATCCCACCTTGCACCCTGCCGCCTGGGCCCTGTCAGGCCGCGGAGAGGGCCGACCTGGAGCGCCAGGGGGCCGCCCTGGCGGAGGACGCAGCGGCCGCGCACCAAGCCCTCGAGGCAGCCGCGGCCATGCGTGCCGCAGCAGACGAGTCGGCCCGCTCCGTGGCGGCGCGCGAGGCCGCCGTTGCAGCGCGCGCGCAGCAGCTTGCGGATGCCGAGCGCGGGCTCGCCGCCCGGCAGGCGGAGGCGCTGCGCACCCTGGAGGCGATGGAGGCCGGCATGCGGCGCGGCCTGGAGGCGCACCGTGCGCGCAGTGAGGAGCTGCTGGGGCGCGTGACGGCCGACCTGGAGGAGCGCGCGGCTGAGCTGGGTGCGAAGCAGGAGCGGCTGCTGGCCGAGATTGCGGCCCACAGGAGCCACGTCAGCACCGAGCTCGCGGCGGAGAGGTGAGAGTGTGGCAAGGTGGGATGCGGTGAGGTGCGCGGGTGGCCAAGCGGAGGACAAGATCGCAGAGGGCGCTGGTGTGTTGATCAATGTATGCAGGAACGCATCTGCGTCTGCCCGCTACATGAGCTGCATGCCCCATGCAGTCGCAAGTAAAAGTGCCTGCATTGGGCGTTGAGCTATCATGGGCATGGCGGTACTTGCCAACAACTCATCAGTCACACATCACTAATCGTCTGGCCCCTCACCCCACGCCTTGTCCCACTCATATCATCCCGCATTTCGACCCCACACCCGACCCCTTCCCCCCAGACACCCCACCCCAACCCTTGCTTGTCCTCATCCCCCCCACCCCTTTAACCTCACCACTTCCCTGTAACCATGCCATCACCACCCCACCACCGCCCCAGGCACAAGCTGGCCAGTGAGATGGAGGTCGCCGAGGTGCGCGCCAGCGCGGAGCTGGAGCTGCAGGCACGACTGCTGGAGGCCACACAGCAGGACGTGGCGAGGCGCGAGGCGGCTGTGAAGCAGCGCGAGGCGGCGCTGTCGGAGCAGGAGCGCGGGTTGCGCGATGCGGCGGCGGCGGCCCGCGACCGGCAGCAGCAGGAGAGCGCCAAGCTGGCGGAGGCTGAGAGCCGTGCCAAGGCCACACAGCAGCAGGCGCAGCAGGTGGGCGCGAGGGGAACGGCCGCTGGGCACGCTGGGTAGGTGCTGCTGGACAGACCTTCACAGGTTTGCTGCCCTGCACAGGCGTGAGCAGCATATCGTGGTGTCCGCGCTGCATGACGCAGTCCCTTGCCGCCACAGCCACGGTTGCTCGCTACACAACCTGGCTGCCCGCACCACGCCGCCGCAGCTCATCGACTCGGCGCGCCAGGAGGCGGCTCAGCTGGCGGCACAGCGCTCCAGCCTCGAGATGTGGCAGCGGCGCCTGGAGTCGCGCCAAGCGGAGCTGGAAGAGCTGGAGGCAGCAGCTGCGGACACACTGCAAGACGCCCGGGACGCAGCGGCCGCTGCGCTCGCAGAGAGAGAGCAGGTAGAGGCCGGGGCCTGTTGTCGGCTGGGTATAATGGAGGACACGGCGCCTGCCATGCCATGCCCTGCCTGCGGCTCAACACTGTTTGGGGCAGGTGCGCGCTCAAGCACGCTTTCCTCACGAGGGTGCCCCGCTCCCGACCCGCTCCAGGCGCGCGCCGACGTCACCGCTGCGCGGCAGCAGCTGGTGGCCCTGGAGGCGGAGCTCGACGCCACACGCGTGCGCGCATCCGCGGAGCAGCAGGCGGCAGACTCAGGCCGCAGCAGCCTGGCGCGCGAGCGGGCGGCGCTGGAGGAGCAGCGGCGCGGGGCGGCGGAGGTGCTGCGCCAGTTGGAGGCGCGGGAGGACTCCTTGGCCCAGGTGGGTGGGTGTTGGGTGGGGGATGCTTCAACGGATACGAGCGTGTGAAGCTCGCTGACAGCAATCTGCGAGACGAGCCCGTCGCCGGAGCTCTGCACCCTGCGCTGCTGCCAATGCAGCCGTTGCAATCCCAATGGGAAAGGCCCCTCTCCTGTGTTGTCCTGCAGTCTTCACCAGCGGTCATTTCATGCAACCTCCGCCACTCCGCCGCCGCCACCCGCCGCCGGCCCCACCGCCGCGCACCAGGCGGAGGCCGAGCTTGACGCCCTGCGCTCAGAGCTGCGGGCAGAACAGACGGCCCTGGCCCGCCGCAGCGCCGGTGTGACGGCCCAGGCCAAGGAGCAGGCGGCTGCGGCCGCGGCGCTGCAGGCGGAGCGCGAGGGCCTGGTGCGTGCACAGGCTCTGCGGGGTGAGCTGGCGGCCAAGGAGGCGCGGCTCAGGGTGGAGGCCGAGGCTGCCGAGTCCCAGAAGGAGGTGGGTGGGACTTGACTCGGGAACGAGAGGCGGCCGGCAGCTCAGCACTTTGATCAAGCTGGGTGGGCACCACCAAAATAGTTGAAGAGCAGCGCCCCGTTGCAGAGCCAGCAGAACAAAGCTCCTTGGCACTGGAATCATCACCCTCCCGGGGCGTGTGCACCCTGCACCGTTGCAGGCCTTGGCGGAGGAGGCGGCGCGTGTCGCGCAGCTGCGCGACGAGCTTCTGGCACAGAAGCGCTCCACCAGTGCTGCCAACGCCCTGAGCAAGGAAGGCGCAGCCCGTGCTGCCGAGCTGGCGTCCCGAGAGGCGGCACTTGACGCGGCCCGGCAGGAGCTGCAGCAGCGCGAGCGCCAGCTTGGCCAGGTATGCCGGCCGGGGCCTGCGGGGTGTGACACTGTGGACTGCGGAAACGAGACCAAGGAAGGGGCCCTTTTTGGGAACGCCTCGTGTAGGGCCAGGCGGGCCTGTTGACCAGGATATTACGCTGCCGCCCAAACATGTCCCCTTGCTTCCCTTGCACCCACATCCCAAACAACCTTCCAAGATCCGGTCAGAGCTGGAGGGGGAGCGCTTGTCGTGGCGCGCCACTGCGGAGGCGGAGCAGTCGCGGCTGCTGCGCGTGGTGCAGGAGCAGGGGGTGGCGCTGGCCGACAAGGAGCGCCAGCTGGAGGCGCTGCGCGCAGAGCTGCAGCAGCAGCTGGCGGCCGGGGCCAGCGACCTGGACGCGCGCGAGAGGGATGTGCGTGACGCCGAGGCACGCGTGCGCGCACAGCAGGAGGCCCTGAGGCGCGCGCAGGAGCGGGCGACGGCGGCGGAGGGCGCTGAGGCTGTGCTGCGATCGCGTGAGGCCGACCTGGCGGGGCTGGCGGCGCGGCTGGAGCGCGATGCAGTGCAGCTGGCGGCCGTGCGCAGCAGTCTCCAGGTGGGGTGTAACCAGGGCAGGCTGGGGGCTGCTTGGCCACGTCGCGCGGGCTGGGAGCTGCAGGGGTGCAGGGTCCTCAGCTGCTTGCGCAGCGCAGCAGGACGTCCACCAGCCGGCCGTCCTCAATCCCGCGCTGCAGGAACGCTCCCGGGCGCTGGACGACCGCGAGATGGCGGCTGCGCAGGCAGCAGCGGCGTCCGCAGGCGCAACGGCGACTGCCACGCCCCCATCTCCAGTTCCAGCCCCCTCGCTGCCGCTGCCGCCGCCGCGGCAGGTGGGCCTGGCCGCTGAGCCCAGCGACCTGTCCGCCAGCGCCCCAGTGACCATCAACAGCCGCCAGCACCGCACAGTTAGCGCCCTGCTTGCCAGCTTGCAGCAGACAGCGGCGCGCGGCTCAGAGCGGCTGCAGCGCCTTGAGCGCGTGCTGGCCACCATTGCCGCGGACGCGGCCGAACCCGAGCGCGTGCGCAGTACGTACGCAACCGTGTCCGCCCTGGGCCGCGAACTGCTGGAGCTGCAGCAGTCCAACGCCGAGTTTGCAGCGGCGCTGGAGGCGGTGGGCACGCGCGGAGAGCTTGCAGACGTGAAGCGGCGGCTGGAGGGTCACCAGGCACTGCTGGGGGCCTGGGAGGAACGGGTGCGGCGCGCCCTGGAGGACGTGACAGAGCTGCAGAGCCCCTCGCGCCGCAACTCGATGCTGCTGTCAGCGCCGCCCGCCACCAGGGGCGCAGGCTTGCAGGCAGGGACGCTGCGCCGGGCTGCCTTCACTCCTGGACCATCGCTGCTCCGGGGCGATGGCAGCAGATAGTCAGTCAGCTGACCCAGACAAATCAAGGATCATATGTTTGCCTTGAGTACATTTGAACCCAACTGTGACTGGCCACTCATGGTCTGCTGGGGGCCGCAAGTGTTACAGAGCTTGGTGCCTGTGACGATGCGTTTCCGAAATTGGTCAACATGCCCAAATGAATCGCGGGAGAAAGCGATGTCGTGGAGTCTTTGAAATTGACAGTGTGTGGGGGACGGGGAAGTGGGCAGTGTCTTGTGTGCACCGGTGCAGCAACATGTAGCTTCGCACGACGTGCGAGACGGGCTGTAGCGCCACAATCAACATCACCAAGGTGGCACGGGACTGTGTGGACACAGCACACGTCAATTACAAGCGGAACATGGGCTGGAAAAGAAGGACAGTACTGTCAGTACCCAAAGGTAAAGTCAAGCTTCACCGATGCGACAGAGGCAGCCCAGTACGCCAAGGGCGATTTCAAGGCTTGGTGGCAGCAGGCTTGTCCGTGGGGGCAGCGGGCTTGGCGGCGTCGGGCTTGGGGGATGCACCGGCCTTGGGCGCGCTGGGCTTCGGGCTGCCAGCCTTGGGCGCGCTGGGCTTGGCCGCAGGGGTGCTGGCCTTGGCTGGGGCGCTGGCTGCAGCCTTGGTGTTCCAGAAGGGCGAGTCCCACGCCTTGCTGGCGACCTGCAGCCCGCAAGGAGGGAGGGAGCACAAGTCTTGTGAGCGGCACCGGAGTGCGCATGAACACCTGGACATGCATGGGGACTGGTGGGTCGCGCTCAGAACTGGACCAGGGTGCAGCGTGCGCAGACACGCAGGGAAACACTAGCACATTGCCAACAACCAACACAACATGGTTGATTACCCACCACGCGACCGACGATAAGGCCGTCGACGTTGGACGTGTTGAAGTGCACTCCACCATACAGGCGGCTGTCACCAACCTCGACGGCTGGAGAGGGGTTCACCAGACACCGGGCGGTCATGTCAGAAAGGACGGGACAATCGTGCCAGAAGTGCACACAGACAAACCCCGGATACATGTCACCCTCGCATTGGCGTTGGTTGGATCGCCGGCTGGATGTCCCACTAGGCTCTTTTGAGCTGGTGCCAGTGCACTCCTCGACGACCTCATGAGCGCCTGGCAAAAAGTTGCGTCAGTGACACACGCCTCCACATACAACCCCACCCACCGGGGGTGGTGAGATCGGTGTACTTGCGCTCCGGCAGGAAAGGGGTGCCCTCGCTGCCAATGGAGAACTCCACCTTGTCTGTGCCCAGCTGGCGCACCAGCGCCTCCAGCAGCGCACCGACGGTGGCCTGGTGGCCGGAGGGGTCTGGAGAGGGCGGTAAGGTTCAAAGATGATAAGTGGGCGATGTTTGATTACAGGGCGAGCCAGGGTTGCGTCCAAGCAAACAATGAATATCTTAGCTGTGAGGTCTCCACCCTACATATGCAGCAACATGACGCTGGCCATGCACAGTAGCGTCTCTCACACTCGGGGTGGGGCGGGGTCCTGGTGAGGAAGCCAGTCCACTCCTTGTCAGCTGCAACCGGGCCGTCGGGGCCGGTGTAGCCGGCCCGGAAGGCGGTGACGGGGCGCCAGTGCAGGGTGGAGTACTTGATCTAAAGATGTTGGGGAAGGTGGTGGTGGAGGTGGTGGTGGGTACTGAGGACTGTGAAACTTGGGAACATCTATCTGGTGTGGTACACATGGGTGGATGGTGTTGACCCATGCGAAGCCCATCACATCCTGGTGCACCAGCCTCACCTTCCAAGCAGCAATGCTGGCATCCCAGGCGCCTGTGAAGGCCTTGGCAAAGAACAGGGCACTGTCCTTGACGCTCAGGGTGGAGGGCAGCACCTTGGGGAAAGAGGGGCGCGCCACCGAGGGTTTGTGCGCAGGCTTTAGCTGACGACCGCGCCCAAATCAGTTTGCGTCTCTGGGTCGTGACTCCACAGCCCTCTCTTCAAGTTGTCCCTCCCTTGCGCTGGAGTCCATGCAGGCAAAGCTCACCTCAGCTCTCAGTACCCTGCCAACATGCGGGCTTTCACCTGCTCGCCCAACTGCACTCACCCTCTTCGCAATGTCAAGCCAGTGACCACTGATCGCAGAGGTGTTGGCACCGTCAGCCCAGAAGAGGGCGGTCTCGCCGAGTGCCTTGTCGGTGGTGTTGGCGCCCAGCTTGCGCGCGGTCTCGTAGTCCGAGATCGGGGGCACCTTGAAGACGGGCCCCTTGGCGGCGTCGGTGTTGGTCACGATGGCTGACAGCTCAGGCTGGGGCACCACAAAGGGCTTGGCGTTCCCGAGCTGTTGGGGAAAGAGGCACAGGGGAGTAGAGGGGAAGGATGACACGCGAACCAGGCGCTTGGGTCGATCGCAACAGCTGACTGGCATGCGCGCATTGGGGCAGTCGCAGTGCATTGCACTAACAGTTGTTTGCATAGCAGGAGGCACAGCAAATTGCTTGAGCCACACCCAGCACAATGTCAAGGGGCCACAGCAGGCAGATTCAGCCCACCCCGCGAGCCAGCGCACCTGGGGGTAGAGCGCGTACTTCTGTCCGGGGGCGAGCTGGTACACAAAGGGGCCGGGCGCCCCGAACTTGAAGCCCGAGTACTCGGCGGAGGCGCCGCCGGTGTGGTTGCGCACCAGGTCACCAGCCAGGGCGGCGGCCGCCTTCAGGCCAGCCTTCTGGGCGTCGGTGAGGGCCTTGCCCCCGGTGGCGGCGTCGAGCTGCTTCTTCAGGAGCCCGTCGTACTCGGCAGACTGGTTCGAGGGGAACAGAATGGACAGCACCGCGTGACCAGCACCACCTGGTGAGGTTGACATGCAGCAGGGTGCGCAGGGCGCAGGGGGCAGGGTTAGTTTGGGGTTGAGAGGGGTGTCGGTGGAAGTGCATAGCTCGGCCGGATCAGCAGGGATCATGCCCACCCGCAGCGATGACGGGGTCGAGCGTGGAAAGCTTCTCGATGGCGTGCAACTGGGCCAGCGCCACCAGACCGTACAGCCTTCAGGCAGCAATTGGAGGAAATCGGCATGGAGAGATAGGTCACTTGTCAGAGTGATGACACATGATTGCTTGGCCCTGCCCTTGGCCCAGAAGGGCATCGGACAATCTGATTCCGGCTGCCAGGTGGGCGTAGAGCAACCCGCAGCAGACCCGCCTCACCTGTTGGACAACTGGTTTTGGATCCCAATAGAGCGCACAGCCTGCTGCGCCTGCGCCTCCCACTGCGAATGCGGGCGAGCAAGAGACGAGGAGGGATGGGTTGTGTGACAGCGTGACGAGGTGGGTGGGATGAGGGGCAGTGCAGGGGCCTTCAAACCGACTGATGCAGACAGGATGCTGTTGGTAGCGTAAATATGTGACTTACCTGGGTTACAGTGTTGTTGAGGATTGCCTGGGCTGGCGCCACTGCCATGAGGCAGGCGGCGAGGGCGACGATGAGGGTCTGTGACCGCCACATGATGGCTCGCCTGTACGCAGCGCAGGAAGGGGCGTGCAGGAGCATTGAGACCTTATGCCATTGAACTAGTTGGCTGTCTTGGTACATCAATTCGCATCCGACGGGTCCCGCCTTAGCAGGGGCGCCGGCCGACAGCGCTGCCCGGTTATTGGCTCTGGCCTGCGTCATGGTGGTGACCCTGCCGGTGACGCCACCCCACGCGTGAGAGTCCGCTGCGCGGAGATAAGCCACCGGTGTAGCCTTGGGCATGTGTACGATCCCCGCACCCACCTGGATTCGCGCTTGCCTGGGCGGCCGTGGGTTCAAGATCGCGGCTGAACTCAAATCCGCAATTACGCGAATGACTGAGGTGCGTATGTATAGTACAAGAACGTTGCGCTGCATATGGGCATCCTGTGCCGCTTGTCTACCACTGGCCGTCCGAGCGCCATTGGTTGACCCTCTCATCATGCAAAGCAGAGAGGGGAGCCCAAGGGCGCTCTGAGCCAGGCAACGCGGCCCACGTCTGGAGGGGGCAATCGCCCCATAGATATCATACATAATCCAGCTTGAGGCACTGCCTGACCCGCGTGTGTCCTCTCATGTGTAGATTCAGGCAGGCAGCGAGCACAGCGGCGTCACCCGTGAGGGTCCTGGGCCCCGATGCCCATGACCAACAGGCGGGAATTTCGATGCATGGCATTTACACTCTGTACGCAAGAAAACATAGCAAATGGTCAAAAAGGTTGGATTTTGCATACGGTTGCAATGGTACAAGGACGACGCCTGAGTTGCTTGCCGAGCCCGTCAAGAACGATCACTCAGGGCCGCCGCCAACGCCATCACCACCGCCCAGCTGCTGCGCCTGCTGCTGCTGCTGCGCCTGCTGCCCGCCGCCCTCCAAGCTCTGTTTGCGCCGCCGCTTGCGCGTCACGCCCGGGTCACCCGCCGGCGCTGCGGCCACGACGGGCGCCGGCTCGACAGGCGCCGGCTTCCGCCGCTCCGCCCCCGCCTCTTCCTCCGCCTCCTCCTCGCCCTCCTCCTCCTCGCTCTCCTCCACCTCCGGCCCGCTGCCCTCCACCTCCGACACGCGCGCGCCCTCTGCTGCCGCGCTTGCTGCCGCGCTGGCGTGCCCCTCTGTCCCCGTGCCTGGCCCCAGGTCCGCGCTCTCCAGGAAGGGCACCCTGTAGCGCTGCTGGATGCGCAGCGTGGAGGCGTCGGCGGCGGCCCTGTCCAGCACGATGATGCGGTCGTCCTCCAGGTCGAGCCGCACGTAGGGCGCGTCGCAGCCCGCCAGCAGGGCGCGCAGGTGTCTCAGGTTGAGCACCTCCTCCCCGTTGACGCGCAGCACCTGCAGGTTCTGGAAGCCCTGGAAGCCCGTGTTGACGTCGTCCACCAGCACCTGGCTCAGGATGACAATCTGCTGCTCGGGGCGCTGCATCAGGCCTGGAGCGAGGGGGGGGGCAGGAAAGGGGGGGAGAAGCGAAAGGGGCTTCAAGGCGGAGGCAGGGCGGTGGCTGGCTTGTGCATGGTGGCTGCTGCTCGCCCCAGGGAACTGGGCCGCCTTGTTCCCAGGCCCCCGCGGCAGGAGGCCCTCAGTCGTGTGATCTTGCACCCGCAAACAACCTTCAGGTTGCTTTCGATGTTTTCCGGCCCCCTACCAATTGCGCAACCCAATGCTCCCTCCAAGACACACAGACACAGAGACACACACACATGCACACGCACACACACACACACACACAGAGTCCCACCCCCGCCCCCCCACCGTTGAGGGCCTTCTCCACCAGTCGTCGCGGGCTGTTGGCAATCCAGTCCTCCCCAAACTCGTGGAGGTAGGGCTGGCTGAGGGGCACAAACACCAGCCCCGCGTACATCAGGAATGACGGCACCTCGTCGTACCTTGATGCAGGAGGGCGCGGGGGAGGGGGGGAGGTGCAATTTGAAGGACGGCGCCAGAGGTGAGGCATGGCTTGTGAGCGGCTAGCGCACATGATGTGCGAAATTGCGGGGCAGACAGCGCACATGTCGTGCAGTTGTGGTTGACAGCGCGTTCAAGACAGTTGGGGCGTGTTACAGCACCGCTGACAGCTGGCAAAAGCCCTGAGTGGGAGGTGCGAGCGGCCACTGCTCACTTGCATATGGGCACGAGTGTCTGCAGGGGCTGCAGGGGGACGTCAAATTCGTCCAGCTGCCCGTCACGCAGCACACTCAGGCGCGCGGTGGAGCCAGTGGGCTTCTGCGTGATGAGGGCGGTGAAAAAGATGCGCTCGCGGGAGCGGAAGTGCACAGTGCCGTCACTGCGGGTGGGATGGGAGGGGGCGGGCAGAAAGGGTTGGCGGGGGCTGCGTGACACATCAACACGCTGGAAACACAGGCAGGACAATCCAGTGACGGGCACTAGACCACTGACCCCAGCTTCAGAGCCCTCCAAAGGCTGCCTCCCCCATGGGCCCACTTTGCTATCTTGACGCCGTCGAATGCCAGGAGGACGTCCCCCTTCTTCATGACGCGGGCGGTGGGGCTGGTGGGCTGCACCCTGTTGACCAGCACCCCTGACAGGCCGTCAGCCATGCCCAGGCTGGAGCGCAGGTACGCATTCTCCAGGGT